TAAAAAAATTTTAATGTCCCCACCATTCAAACACAGTTCTAACATTGGTAGTCTTTAATGCTGTCGGCAATTACAAATGAGTCTCCCTAGCTTGCTTTTATTGATTACTTCAATGTTACTAAATTTATTTTTCCAATGCTTAATGTTATCCAGATTGGTCTAAATAATAAGAGTAACCTGATCATTTTGCACAGTAGGGGCTTGTCCTTGGAGAATATGTGACCATTTTTTAATAACAGAGAAGACAATATCAAACTTAACAAGGACGGTAGAATGATAGTGGCGCAGGATGGAGAGACAAGTTCAGAAAGAAGATGGCTTTCCAAGGCTCTGAACCAGTCAGTGGAAATTCTTTGGGTCTGCCTATGAAAAAGAAGTGCAGGGTGGAAGTGATGAGCCACCCTGTGGCCAGGTGGGCTGTGAACCACTGCAAGGGCTGAGTGTCCCATCTCTGGGCAGGTACTCTGCAGACTACAGGATCTGGGTGTGTTTAGCTGGCCCTTCCGCTACCTGAGCAGGGCTTATGCCTTGAAGTACCTTCTATAAATCCATCAAATAGAAAGTAATACATAAAAGGAGCACACCAGGACTTGGGAAATGAGACAGACACATGCCCCCCCCCCCGCAAACTTTCCTAGGCTGCACAGGGAGGATGATGGTTGAAAATAAGCAGGAAAGGGCTTTTTCAAATGTTCTCTTAAAACAGGCTAAAAGAAGCATGGATCACTCCCATAAATCACAGAGAGTATGAAGAGAATCTTCTTCCCCTGGGAGACTATAGATCTGCCTATAATATCTACTCAGTTATCTAGGGGCATTTTCCCAATTTTAGCAATATTAAGGGGGAGGGAACAAACACCAGCAGGAAGATTGAGGTGGTATCTCAGGTTGACTGGCCTCTGGCTGCCAGCCAAAGTCATGAGAGAGAGAGGGCACTGGAACACCAAAGCAGCAGGGCTGAGTAGGAGGGCCAGATTCAGTGCTGTCTAGAAGTTGGCAGGATGGTTGATCCAGGGGGTGGGCTCAGCTGGGATGATTCATTTCTGTTTCACATGGTCCCTCGTCTTCCAGTAGGCTAGCTCAGGCTTCTTCACCTGGATTGACTCCATATGTACAGCAAGAGATGAAAGCCCTGATGCACAAGCCATCACCAAACCTCTGTTCAGATCACATTTACTAATGTCCTATTGGCCAAAGCAAGTCACAAGGCTAAGACCAGATTCAAGGGATAGATTTCACTTCTTGATGGGAGGAGCTGAAGAGTCACATTGTCAAGAGGAATTTGTGGCCATTTTTTGCAATCTACTACAAGAGCCTTGAACTATGCTTGGCACATAGGAGGTGATCAAGAATGCTTGTTGCAACACTTAAGAGGTAAATAATGTCATTGTCCACCACTTTTCCCCCTGCCATTTGCATATCCAGCGTCTTGATGCTGGAGCTGCGCACACATTGCTGGATTACAGTTTATGTTCCCACTCCTAGTCTTTACTCTTTGAACAGATCCAGAAAAGGGGAAACCCTTTGTCTATCAAATCAGAGTCAGCTTGGGCTGGCCACACCTCCTTCTGCCAGTTGCTGCCACTTGGGTGCCTCCTGGTGGCTCCTCCTTGCATAGCTCCACTCAAGGTGTGGAAGTCACCATGTGAATTGCCAAAGAGTTGGATAGAATGGAGAGCCTTCACAGGGAGAGCTCTCGATGTAGTAAATGGCTGGAGATGGAAAGAAAAGGAATAAACAACAAAAACAATTTTTTAATTACCATCTAGACCTTGTAGCTGGTGAGTCTTTGCTTGTTTCACTGTGACTTGGCCCAGAGAAAAGGTAAGGCAGCAAAATAAAGATAATGCATATATACAAGAGTTCCATATCATTAAAAGTCAGGTGCCGATGGGTGAGGAGCAGTGCCTTTCTCACTGAATCAACATGGTAGAGTTGGAAAAGGTGACAGAGTGTCCTGGCTGGATCAGTTCGTCTAGGGCCTGGTAGGTCCCTGCTACAAAGCCCATGAAGCCCAGGATGCTGATCAGGGCGTCCTTGACGATGGTGAGGGGACTCATGCCCTCTGAGTAGTAGGTGGCGATCTCCAGGAGGGGCGGGATGATGAGGGCCAGGGCACTGCTGCTCACGGAGCCCACCAGGGAGATGACCAGGTCCAGGCGAGGGATGAGGATGGCTAAGATGCCTGCAGGAGATGATATGGGATAAATTGATCTTCTAGGCTTAGCCAAGCTTCTAAAGTTTGTTTTTAAAATCCCTTTCTTAAAACAAAAACCAGTTGTTTCTCATACATTCAGTTACATAAAGAAAAAGTTGAAAGTCCTGTAATATCTCGAATCGTATTCACTAGAGGTCACACATTAAAAATTTTGTGTGTCTCCTTTCAATCACTTTTCAAATATATCGATTCATATTGTTGGGAGGAAACACTTTCCCTTTACCCACTTAGGTTCATTGATGGGGGCCCGCAAATTTAACTGGCAATAGACAGATTAACAAGAAAAAAATTTATTTAGGGCTAAGGAGCCTTCAAATGAATTGGCTCCTGGAACAGCTAAAGATAGGGGTTTATATCCCTATTTCATAAGGGGTGAAGGAGGGGTCAGAGCTTCTATGCAAGAAAAGTAGAAGGTATGACAGTTTCAGATAAAGTTTATTTAAGTAATTACTCAGATTGTGATGATGGTTAGTCTCCTTTCTGGTTGAAAATCTCCCAGAGAGGAGATTTATGACAGCTGTACTTTTCAGAAGATCCTGCTTAATTCAGCAAAGGAAGTTTAGATAAAAATTTTTTTCCTGTCCCCCCATGTTCCTTCAAATGTTTTTAGCTTAAAATAATTTTTATGCCACTAAGGTACATTTCGAATCCCTACATATCCAACAATTAAGCTCTTAATAAATAAATAACACCAAATAACAGTGCTGGGAACTGGACCCAGTTGTTTGGGATCTATCAATGTACAAAACAGAATAATTTAAAAAAATAGCCCCGTCTTCATAGAGCTGACATTTTAATAACATGACTATGAGCACCTTTTGCAAACAATTAGAATGTAAAATTATTTCTAGGAGAAAGTTAGAGCAAGGTCACAGGATCTCTTTAAAAGTGTGTTCTGCAGGTTTTACGCACACCAGAAAACATTTCACAAAGAAACACTAAAAGCTACAGATTTTGAAATTCTATTTTTTTAGTAGGATGTTTTGCAGGCCTGGGCTTTTACTTTTTTTTTTCTTTTTGATGGAAAAGTGTCACCAAGAAAGCCCAGAAGCCTCCCCAGGCTTCCTGTGGTATAAGAGTGAGAACAGGTCTGAAAGACAGGATTCTGACTTCTCCCTGTGTGGCTTTGAAAAAGTCCCTAGTTCTTTCCTCAGCTTGTAGCCTCATCTACAAAATGGGGATAAATGACATCTATCCTTTTAGGTACCATGGTTCATGTTGCAAATGGCATTAAAGTTTTAAACAAGTTAATTAATGTAAAGCACTAAGAAAGTTTTATACTCATATGTACTGATTGGGGCAAGGCATGCAGAAGTCCTAGTTTTAGGCTTCAGGAATTATCATCTTCATATTTGAGACAAAATCCTCTATCTCTCTGGAGTCTCTAAGGTTTCTGAATGGTAATGTCCCTGCCTCCTAGGGTAAATTGGGAACAGATCACTTCAAAGGAAGGAAATCAGTGTCCAGTGAATTATATAGTACAGCAAAAAGCTAGAGGGAGATGCTTAGAATCACGATTAAAAGGGCCACATCATACTCAGTGGAGCAATCTCCATCATCTCCTTTGCCCCTGCTAAAATACTTGCAGAAACAGGGCACCCGGGATCATGGGCCCCGGAGCTGTAAGGGGGAGGGTGGGGCCAGCTGGAGCCAGTGAATGAGCAGGGCCTGTCCTGGGGGCAAGTCCAGTTGGCTACTGCCAATGGGGAATGTGACCCTAGGCTTGCCATGTCATCCGCCCCACCCCACCCCCCAAAATAAATTTGGATTTGTATGTGAGATCTCTCAAATTTTTTATGTTTTATTTTTAAAACTTTTTAGGTGAGGCAACCCTTGGTTGACGTCACAGATTGCAAGGACCTTGACAGCTTACAATCCCTTATTTATTTATTTTATTTATTTTTATTTTTTATGCCTACAGCACCTGGTCTTCCTAGGTGGTCTCCCATCCAAGAACTAACCAGGGCTGACCCTGCTTAGCTTCTGCAATCAGATGGGATCGGGCTTGTCCAGGGTAGCATGGCTGTAAACTCTCAAATTTTTTATGTTGGCCCAAATTTGTACAACATCATGAGGGTCAAACAACATACCTCTACTGCCAGACGAAACACACTGACTGCCATTTTCAACCTCTGTCCTGGAGATGAAGGGTGCTGGCTCTGGCCTTAGATGACCTGGATTCAAATCCTACCTCTGGCACTTCTTGGCCAATTATCACTCCTTGCTTCAATTTTGTCATTTGTAAAGCAGGGTTTATCATAGCACTACCTTATGAGAATTCCTACAGGACTGAATAAAATTTTATAAAATATAGACTAAAAAGAGCTTAGCATGGTGGCTAGCACACCATAGATGTTTGATAAATATCAATTATTATGATTGTTGTTCGATAAGCTGTCACTCCCTCAGGCTGGACAACAGTCAATCATCTAATTAGATGTAAGAATTAGGCTTAAATGACTCACTTCTTGCAAAGCCTTTTCCAATCCCTGAAATACAGTTAGTGCTCAATTAGTGGGTTATAATGCCTATCCTTTATCGTCTGGCTGATTTCTGACAGCCCTCAGGAAAAGAGCAACATTCCGTTCTGCTTTCTACTTACATGTCAGGCAGACCATGGTGAAGCGGATGGATAAGTCCAGAAGCAGTGCCCAGCGCTTTGACACCTGGGAGATGGCAAAGGGAATGATGATTTCTGCAGGGACGTAGAACTGCAAGGTGTAGGTGCACAGGATGCCAGCGACGTAGAGGAGCTTGAACGACTGGTACAGCCTGCAGGACAAACCAGAGCCATGCTTACTGTGGCCACCGGGCTTCTCAGAACATCAACTTCTGACCTTGGGATGGTCCCTAGGGCTGCAAGTGTCCTTGTCTGAAAACGATGGTGGGTAAAAGGAGAGTCAGGGGTACTTGTGGGCCTTGGACTAGAAGCAGAGGGAAGGTGTGATGGGGATGTTGAACTTTATAAAAGTTTTTTTGACCTATGGAGATATGATACATATCTTTAGTCCACAGATGTGGTAGACGCATCTCCCATGTTTAATAAAATTGCGTGTATGTGTGATGTGTATCTCTGTATCAGTGTTCAGGCGATTTCTTAAAGAGGCTAACTTTGGCATTTCTGTTTCTTGCTCACACTAGTCCTGATGCCTGGAACCCCACTTTACTCCATTTCTCACTGATTTCTTGAAATTCCCATCTTTTGAGGAAGTACAACGTGCCAGATGCTTTTAGACATGCCCAACTCAATCCTCATGACAATTCTGCTTTATAAATGTGGAAACCTAGGGTCAGAGAGGTTAAGTAAATCATCCATGACTGTAAACTAGGAGGCAGTGCAACAGGGACATGGACCCAGGAGTGCCAGAGTTTTCCTTGTTTGGACAGAGTTGTCTTGTTAGAGAACAAGATAATCTGTTGTCCCATCCCAATGTACTTTCTTTCCTTGGAAGTCCCCAAGACCTCTTTGCTCCTGAGGGTTCCTTTTTCTGTCCTATATTATATCTGTGTGTATATGTACTATCTGTTCTCCCCCATTCCCACTGGATCATGAGCTGGGGAAGGTAGTGAAGCTTAAGTTCATAGTCTACTCACATCAGTACCCTCCACATGTATCTAGACTGGCATCTGCATATAATTGACATGTAGTAAATGCTTGCTGAATGATATTTATCCGCTTAGGAAAGGAGCCCTATTTGAGGCAAATTAAGCCTCCAAGTGACCCTTAAAAAGGCAGGCATCCTGTAATTAAAGACATGCCTCAGTGTGGGAGAAAATGCTATCCAGTGCTAGATAGGTTCATGAGTCTATTTAAATAGGGCACTGTTGAGGTCTGGCTCAGCTAACTGTTACATGAACTGAGTGCATTTGACCAAAATCTTTTTACAGTGGTCTTCCCAAATTGGTTCTTGTTTTACTGCTTTTTCATCCCAGCTACTCTGACATGTGGATGTGCGCCACTGGCTGTGGCAAGCAAGACTTGGTAACACAGCCTTTGTAAATATAACTGCAAGTGTTGCCACCCACCAACTCCTCTCTCCGTCTCCTGCCTTCCTCCAGCCACCTCCCTCCTCTCCTTAGGTGACCAAGATCTCTCACTTCTTCCCTCTCTTCTTAAATCATGTCCTTCATGCTGAGCTAAGGAGGCCTCACTCAACACGGGCGGCTGTGGTTGAAGGAAGAGCTCCCCGGACAGAGAACCAGAGCCCAGGGTTCCAGCGGCAGCTCTGCTTCAGCCAGGGGAAGCTCTCTAGACCTTGGTTTGCCATCTGTGGAAGGGAGGAGGAAGCGACCTACACCTGGCCCTGAGTCCCACCACCCAAGGGCCCATAAAGTTACCAGCAGTTGGGCAGGTTAAGGGTTATGCTGGCCTTTATGTCATTTTCAAACCGCATGTAGCCAAGAACCCCGATGCCAATGTACAAGGCAGTGATGATAAACATCCCCAAAGACAGGATGGCTGGGAAGCGGCGGGTGTTCTTCATCTTGTTTTCCAGGGGCAGAACCTACAGAAATATCACCATGTGAGAAGACGAGGAGAAAGAGGGACATGAATATAAAGAAGAATGGCACACAATTCTGCATATATACCCCAAAGAATTGGTGGCAGGAACTAGAAAAGATATTTGCACATCCCTGTTTATAGCAGCATAATTCATAACAGCCAAAAGGCTGAAGCAACCTAAGCATCTGTTGATGGATGAACAGATCAACAAAATGTGGTATATACACGCAATGGAATATTACTCAGCCTTAAAAAGGAAATTCTGGCACATGCCAGAACATGGATGAACTTTGAGGACATTATGCTGAATGAAATAAGCCAGTTACAAAAAGACAGATACTGCATGAGACCATTTATATAAAGTACCTAGACTACTCAAATTCACAGAGTCAAAAAGAAGAATGATGGTTTCCAGGGACTGGGACTGGCGGAGGAGGGGATGAGGAGTTATTGTTTAATGGGTACAGAATTTCAGTTTTGTGAGATGAAAAGAATTCTGGACATGGATAGTGGTGATGTTTGCACAATAATGTAAATGTACATTGTGTCGCTGAACCGTACGCTTAAAAATGGTTAAATCGGTAAATTTCGTTAGGTATATTTTACCACAATTAAAGAAAAAAAAAGAAAAAAGGAAGGAAGTAGACCCTGGAGTCACAGGATGAACCCTGGACCATTCGGAGCTGGAAAGGCCCCTTCAGGTTGTCCAGACCAAGGAGCTCAGCCCTCTGGGGCAGCATGATCTAGGCAAATGAATTTTCTTTGGCCAGCAGAGTCTTCAAGACAACAGAATATGATGCCTTTAGGTACAACATTCTTTCCACATTCACCAGGCCCACCGCTCCTGCTCACACTGCCATACCTGGCCTCTTCACCCAGACTGCCTTCCAAAGGTATTTGAGTTTGCGACTCCCAATTTCAGTGCCCTTGCCCCTCTCTGTACAGATGGGGAGGCTGGTGGCGGGGCTGGGACTAGAGCTTCCTGGTTCCCCAGTAGCACATTTCCCCACATACCATGTTCTCAGGACCCTTCCACCCCAGATGTATCTCTGGCTCTAAAGGAATCCAACTCAAGACCAGCCTGCCCCTTGAGCCTGCTGGGCAGCCAAAGGTCACTTCTGTCTTTCAAACCAACGCTATGAAGATCACAACTCTATGAACTGGTACATGTATAATTCTTATTTTATAGATGAAGAAAACAAGGCTCTGAAGATGGAGTAACTTGCCCCAAGTTATACAGCTTGAAAGTAGCAGAGCCAGGCTGCAGACTAGGATTGTCCTCCAAAGTGCAAGGACTGGTTTCCACCCATACTCTTAACAGCATTGTGTTATGTTTATTACTCAATAGGACCTTAGCATCTGTGCCCTTGTACTGTTAATGACTTTTTTGTTCTGCATGCATTCCTCCCCCACCGCCATGCAAATGAAAACTGCTGGTGGGAGTGCTATCAAGGGGTCATTGCTGTGCCTTTCCACTTCCCTCTGAGTTAGAGGCAGGGTCCCAGGAAAAATCCCGAGGATTACGTGGACAGCAGACAGTCTGTCCTGAGCTTTCCCATCCTGTAATACATTTTTGCTGCAAAAATTTTCCAGGCTAAAAATAATCTTTTTACAAGGCCAGATCATTCTAAATAGCTCACTCTCTCTCTCCTCCCACAATAGATAATTAGCCATTTGTGTAAAGTGCAAAGGAGCCTGGACTGGGAGTGAGGAGTGCTTAGTTTTAGCCACAGCTGCAACAGTTCCCAGCTAGTGACCTAGCTCAAATTCCTTTTCCCTCTTCGGGACTTGGGCTCCTCTTCTGTAAAACTGGAGACTGGGCTAGAAGATGTCAAAAGGTAATTTTAACTCTGATACGAATAATCATTAGTTCATAGTTGGTGTTCAATAAGTATTCATTGAACAGATTATCATCATTTAGTTGGAGAATTGGGGTTCAGAGAGTACCCCAGGGCCAAATAATACTGCAACATATTCTGCCTCCAAAGTCATTTGCTCAACCACTGCACTCTGCTTGTTGCCATGACCGTCCACCATTCTAAATATAAAGTGCTTTCAGTTCCATTAAGATGGTGTAAGCACACTCTATCATCTCTCTCTCTCTCTCAATGATTAAAACTAAAAGCCCTGGGAGGAAAACATAAAGCAATGACTCCTAGACTTGAAAAGTATATAACAGCAGGTGGATTAACCAAAACCAGTAAAAATGACCATATGGCAGTGAGTTTCCCGATTTTTTTCTTCCCATATCTCCCAGTTTTGACTCAAGGGAAGCCCAAATCCTAGAACTATTCAGTGGATGCAGACAGATAGAACTCCAAGAAAAACCCTCTTTCTGGCCAGAAGACCTAGAATAGGGGCCCGTCTGAGACAGAGTATGGAGAGAATCCCTACTATTTTTGTTTTGCTTTTTCACTCTCCTGGCTATACCATACCCCAAGTCACGTCCTAGTCACAAAGCAGCATTCTGGTGTATCACTGACCGTGTGGTGGTCACTGATGCCTAAAATTCTGAAACAAACTTCTTCTCTCTGAGCAAAGGAACTAGGAAAAGAAGTTTGGGGAGTCCCTATAGTGTGGGGGGACATCAGGATTGGCTAATAATCTGTGAGTCCAGTGCAAAATGAAAATGCAGGACCCCCTAGACCAAAATGAAGAATTTCAAGATGAGGAAAGAAGAGCATTAAAGCAAGCATGGGATCCTTCCAAAGGCAAGGCCCTATGTGACTGTTCAGGCTGCGTGTTCATGAAGTGGGCCTTGGTACGAATCCCTATTATTAAAAAAAAAGTGTCCCCCTCTCTTTTCTCTCAGTGCTTTAACCCCAGGGTCAGATCTGACAGGAAGTTCACAACAGTGTAGGGAGGCTGAAACTCTGGCTCTCTAGCCAGAGGACCAGAAAAAGGAGCCACTGGGAGCTGATGAGTGTGCAGGAAACAGAGACGGGGGGGCTGGAGAGAGTGATCCCTTAAACCTGTGAATGAAGTTCCGGGCTCAGCCCCGAGCTGCATAAGTGCGGAACTGATGTGAAGCATCAAAGCAGAGCCTTTGAAAATTGAACTATTGTGTAGACCACCATCTACATCCAGATTGGTCCCTGGGTGGCACAGAGCTGGGGTGAAGCCAAATATTACTGCAAAGGCTTTGAAAATTAATCTAATATTGGAACCATGTCTCACAGAAGGTAAATCAGGACTTGTGGTCTGAATCTAACCAGACTGGCTGCTTGCTAAAACAAAAATCAGCATTCTTCAGAAGATTTTAACAGGCTCCAGAGTCTCATAAAATAATATTCAAAATGTATACGATATAGTCTAAAATGACTCAAAATACAAAGCACTGGGAAAATCTCAGTAAGTCTCAAAGGAAAAGACAACAGATGCCAACCCTAAGATGTCTCAAATGTTAGACATATCAAAGACTTTAAAAAAGCTATTATAACCGTCCTCCATGTAGTAAGAAAGAACATTACTGAAATAAATGGAGAAATATAAATTCTCAGCAAAGAAGCAGAAGTAAAATAAAAGAACCAAGTGAAAATTTTAGAACTGGAAAACCACACTGGAAACCACACTGTATGACAGAGCACAGCATCAGTGAACTTGAAAATAGATAAATAGGAATTATTGATTCTGAACATAAAAGGAGAAAATATATTTAAAAAAAAATAAACGGAGCCTCAGAAACAGATGAGACATGTATCAAAAGGTCTAACATTCAGATTATTGGAATTCCAGAAGGAGAAGAGAAAGAGATGGGTGCAGAAAAGTTTTTTTTTTTTGAAAAATAATGGCTGAAAACTTCCCAATTTAGGTAAAAGACATATATTTACAGATTCAAGAAATTAAGTGAATTTCAAACAGAAGAAACTCATAACTATATCAGATATATGATATAATTATTTTAATATGATTTTACTGCTGAAAACCAAAGAATAAAAAAAGAATCTTGAAAGTAACCAGATAAAAAGAACATATTACATATAGGGGAACAATGGTTCAAATAAGTGCAGATTTCTCATCAAAACCATCAAGGGCCAAAGTAAGGGAAACCATATTTTCAAAGTGCTGAAAACAAAACAAAACTGTCACCGTGGAATTCTGTACTGTGAAAAAATATTCCTCAGGAATAAAGGCAAAATGAAGACATTCTAAGATGAAGAAAATGAAGGCAATTTGTCACCAACAGACCAGTTCTAAAAGAAATGCTAAGGAAGGTTCTTCATGCTGAAGGGAAATGATACAAGAGAGAAACTTGGGAATTTGAGAATAAAGTGCAACAGAAATAGTAATTACCTGGGTAGATATAATAGACTATTTTTATCCTAGCAAGATTGTTACAAGTAAGGACCATGTGTAACGATTAAAAAGCAAAAATTATAACATCGTCTGATGGTGTTTTAATGTATTTAGATGTAATACATGTGGGCAACATAACATAAAGAGGAGAAAGTAAACCTATGACTGTAAGATTTCTACAGTTTATTAGAAATGATAAAATATTAGCTCTAAGTAAATCATGCAAAGTTATATATGTATATTATAATCCCCAGAGCAACCACTAAAAATATTACAGAAAGAGATATATTAGTAAAAAATCCAATAGGCAAATTAAAGTGGAATACCAAAAAGTATACAAATAATCCAAAAGACAGCAAGAAAGGGAAAACAGAGAAAAAGCAAAAGGAAAGATAAAACAGAAAACAAAACACAGACCTAATAACCATAATAATTATGTTACATGTAAATAGTGTAATTCCACCGATTAAAAGACAAAGATGGTCAGATTGGATTAATAAACAAGACTCAATTATATTCTATCTGTGACCTAGCAAACTTACTCCCAGAGAAATAAACACCTCTATTCACACAAAAGCCTATACACAAATGCTTATAGTGGCATTATTCATAATTGCCCCAAACTAGAAACAACCTGAATGTCCTTCTGCAAGTGAACTGATAAATTGTAGTATTGCCCCTACAGTGGACACTCAGAGATAGAAAGCAATGAGCTTCTGTTGCATACAAGATGGATCCTAAATGCAACTGAGTGGGAGAAGTCAGTCTCAAAAGGTTACATACCATCATCTCCTGTATATGAAATTCTGGAAAAGATAAGACAATAGAGACAGTGACCAGAAGGTGGCTGGCTGCCAGGGTTAGTGGTGGCAAGGAGAATTGACTACAAAGGGGGCAGGCAGCATGAGGGAGCATTTAGTGGTGTGGGAATTGCTCTGTGTCTTGACTATGGTGTACCTATGACTCTATGCATTTGTCACAATTTACAGAAATGTAGTGCCTCCCCCCCCCGGCAAAAAAAAGTAAACTGTACTGTATGTAAATTAAAAGTAAATTTAAAAATTATATACACAGCACTATCCTTCCTCAAGTATGGAAGCAGAGACTATGCAATAATCTACTGTAAATGTATAGTACTTTCCAGTTTAAAACTTTTTTATGTTTCATCAAATCCTGTCATATAAATTGCACACCTTAATCTGTCTTGATTTTAAAAGACTAGGAAAGACATGCTGATATGAAGATAAATGTTTAATAGATATACTGGGATAAACTAGAGCTCTGTCTAGGGCACAGAAATCCAGAAACCCAGAGTTCCCAGCTCCTGCTCAGAAGGCCACCCGCAGCACCAGGGACATTCCACCCTAATTCAAACCTTACCACGCCAATGCTTTCAAAAGAAAATATGGCTGTTCCAAAGAAGAGAGAGTAGGTCTTCCAACTTGCTATCAGTGGCAACCGGCTGGGGTCTGGGATTTCCTATACGAGAGAGAAATGGGGTAAGATGTTAACTCTCAAAGCATGTTTGGGCTCCTTTAAGACATGGGTGTTCTGAAAGTAGACCTGATTTTTTTTTTTTTTAATTTAAATGTCAAGAAATTCAGAAAACTGCAAAAGGATGTAGGCAAGAATTAAAATTGATTTTAATACTGCCCGATAACAAAGAGCTGGAGGGAAAAAACATTGAAGTATTGTCAAAGTGTTGAAGGATCAGTATCTCACAGAGGGAGTTAGGTTCATCAGCATCCAATAAAAGAATGTCTTACACATGACAGGTTAGTGTCACCTAAAGTGCCTGAGAATATGGAATGTACCACTGTACATTCCATATGGAATGTACCACTGTACTGTAATATGGAATGTACCACTGTACTGTAATAGTGTTAAAAATTACTGTGATGGAGTTACAGTAATATTCTAGGGATTCCTCCCCACCCAAATTAGTTAAATATGAAAGTTTCCTCTTCTTCGATGAGCTATAAATTGAAGGAGAGAAAAGTGTATGAAATAAACACGTTATGTACCCTGCGACCTAGAATATGAAAATCATTACGGAACCATTCCTCTAATTGGGCAACGTCTGAAAATAAATCAGAGGTAGCTATCTCATTGGGAAATTCAATTCTGTGGAATTTATCAATATTGCCTTAAGGAATACAATACTTATCCATAGTTATCCTAAAATATTTGACTTTGTTGTTTTTATTAAATTTCGTGGACAATATAACTTTTTTTTCCTTGTGCCTTCTAAAAGAGAAAAACATCAGAAAGGTATTAGGTGTGCAAAGGGGCTTCTGGGATTTAAATTTTTATATAGTCTTGTCCATTATAAAATAAAAATTAGGAAGGATAGAAAAGTAGGAAATTGAAGGAAAAAAATCAACCACAAAGACATTGTCATTTACATCATGATAAATTGGCTCAAGTAAGCCTTTCAAGACTCTCTATTTACATCTCTGTGATGAGACAGGAGGCTTTTTTTGAGTGGCCTACGGGTAATTTTGGGTGCCTGGAATTGTTGCCTAGAGGATGTAAGACTATGGGTAATTCGACAAGAAGATGCTGCTTTTTATCTGCCTTTTGCTGCTATCCAATCATTACAGGAATGATCTATAGTAAACTGATCAAGATGTTTTCCTTGCGAAGCATTTTTTTAAGCCAGAATTTGACATAAAATGATTATTGGAGAAGCAACACGGAAGAGGAAATATCCAGAGGAATGAGATTTCACAGAGACATCTTTGTGGAAGAAATGCTACAACGAGGTGGGTACTAGGCTGAAGAATGGGGTAAACACTTACCTACCCTTAGGGCTGGCACCAGGTATCAGTTTATTATTGATAAAAAGCTCTGCCCCCTGGAGCAGTTAGGTGTGTGCTGTGCACTAACCTGGACACTGTACTGGGCGATGATGACCAGGCTGAGCAGCATGCTGAGGTTGGCCAACATGGAGAAGATGGATAGCACCCGGAGGTTCCGGATGAGGGCCAGCAGCACCAGGACGGGCAGGAAGGCAAGCATGTACAGTCGGGAGTCCAGGGTGGGTGTCAGAATCACTGTCTCGTTGTAATGGCAGTTGTTCGTGGTGCCATTAATAGCTTCCACTACCTGCGGAAGGAATAGGAAAAGCAAGTCAACAAATCTGTGCATGTGATTAGCTCAGTGTCTGACCCATGATCAAACTCCCTCACAAAGAGCTGGAATGTCTCACGTGAGTTAGGGTGAATTTAGGACTTCTTACTGTAAATCTTCTGCATAAATAACTTTAATAAAAAAGAAACTTAATTAAAAATAAATAACTGGATTTATAGTGGCTATTTGTTGGCTGTTGGCAACCTAGCATCATTCCTCCTGATTCTGATTTATTTTTGGTGAATTCTCCCTTATCTGAATACAAACTTGGAGAACTGTAAGCCAAAATCATATGGCAAAGCTAAAGGACTGGCCTTTAACACAAACTAGGGCACTCACCATCTCTCCCTGAAATCTGAATCTAAACACCTAGCAAAATAACACAAAGTCAGAACAAGGAATGTAAAAATTAATTCTGACAAGGGATCCCTGGGGAGGCTGCTTGTCAGTTCTATATACATCCCCCTAACTGCCCTGGTTCTTGTTCTTTTCTGAGAGCCTTTTTTTTTTTTTCTTTTCTTTTCTTTTTTTGCTTTCTCCATCATTTTGGAAGTTAGCCAATATTCTTTCACTAAACTTATTTTCTACTTAAGTTCCCCAGCTATGTCTTTTGCTTATAACAAAAAGACCCATCACATACTATTTCTTAATTAGAACAATACTGGCTTTTTGAGTGAGAGAACTCTTCCTTAGGAGGACTGGACCATTTATTGCAGGAAATTTATCATTCCTACCCCCTCCCCCCAATAAAAGCTATTAGTATCCCCCAATTATTGTGATAAACAAGAAACACCCTCCTGCACACAGTACAAATACCCCCTGGCAAAGTCAGGTGCAGGGGGTGTATGGTATTACTCTCATTTAGAATCAGAATGATTTAAATGATACAGTCTTATTGTGTAAGTGATACAACTCATTCCAGAACAATTAGAAACTAGAGTCAGGCAAGAAGAAAATGTAAAGCAATGATAATCTCGGTACCCATAGGTAGCCATAGTAATGCATCTATACATTTTCCATATAATACCATAAATGACATGTATTATACGTATGCTTTTACAGGACTGCAATCCCAGCATACACTCTTATTTTAAAATGCCCTTTTCTTTGAACAACACACCATGGCTACTTATATGAATCATTCAGTCCTGTCATTTTCTGATTCCTTACTACAATAGGAAAATACCTAGAGCATCAGCCAGGCATTCAAGGCCCTCCATCAATGGGCCCCATTCAACTCCGAAGGCTTTTCCTCTCCCTCGGCCCACACTTTCCTCGCCAACCTATCGTATCGTCTCTCCTGAGCAAGTTCCCTATGTTCCTGCCTCCAGGTGTTCGCTGTTCCATTCTCTCACCTTGGCTGCCAACAACACCCTTCAACACTCAGCTCAGATGCACCTCCCAAGGGAGCCTTTTCTTCCCCAGCAATCTATTCTTCCTCTGCACATTGCTGCCCCTCAGTTCACAATTAAGCACCCTAACCTCAGAGTGGTGTTAGTGGTGTCCTGCGCCAAAATATCATATTAACAATATTTAACCTTTTTTATGTTTTGGAACATTCTACTTAGCCTGTAAAGTCCTCGAGACAATGCTTGCTTTGGCTCTAGACAGATGATAAATTAAGTTCTGCTGGTATCAGATGATTTCCAAGCAGCAACCTGGTAACATGTTTTAAAAGCCTTCAAAACAATCAAACTCTTTGACTCAGTAATTTTACTTGAAGCACTATAAACTAAGGAAATAAAGGGATATATTAAGACTTGTACAGATTATAGTAGAAAAACAGATTTTAGTAGACAAATAAAGGGAAACAAAGATCATATCTAACAATAAAGGACTAAGTCATGATCAACCCGTGTGATGAAATATTATCAAACTATTAAAAATTACATTATGAACCATAAAGAAATTTCAAATGCTAACCAGTTAATACTAAGTTAAAGTGATTACTGTGAGTGATTGGATTAAGAATAATTTTGTTTTGTTTTGAGAAGCAATATAGCATAGTGTTTAAGAACTTGAGCTCTGATGTCAAAAGGCCTGCATTTTTAACTTTGGCTCTGTGACCTTATACATATTATAGAGTTTATAGTATCAGTTTTCTCATCTACAAAATAGGAATAACCACAACACCTACTCTGATAAGGTCATGGAGAGAATTAAATGAGGGAAAGCATATAAAACGCTCAGCACTGTATCTGACACATAATAGAAGCTAACTCTAAATGCTTACTATTTTTTCCCTTTTTGTGATTTATTTTTACATTTCCAAATTTCTAGTATTACCATAAGCAGAAAAATAAGAAAACCCTAAAGAATAGTTTTCTTTTTTAAGCTAATTGATTGACTAAGGATGGCCTCTGTTATTACCCATATTATTTTGCTCAAATTGTTATGAGGTAACTTCTGGATTAGATTGACGGAACTTGCTGGGGACCACAACTGTTAAACCATCACGATTAAGCAACTAAAGGTAGATAAACATGGCTCAAAGAAGATTAGGTATTATCCCCAAAGACCCACATCACTTTTAGAAGAGTTAAGGAAGATTTAGCTCCAAGGTAAGATTGCAAAATCCAAAATTCCTTCCAGTCTAATTTTAAAGACTAACTTTGAGGACAGGTCCAAGATACTGAACAAAAGGTATTATGGAAAAAGTAAGCACTTACAGAAATCTGCAGATATATGCACTGGGGAAGTCTGGATTCTTTGATAGCATCTAGTTTAACTTTCTTGTTTATACTGATGAGGACACCAGGTCCCCCAAAAGAAGAAGCCATTTGTTGCACAACTAGCAGAGGACCCTCCTTTTTCATGACCTTTTCCTCCCACCTTCTCTAAAAGACTCTACCTGTTTTAAATTATCAGCCAGAAACACAATGTACACACAGCAGAAGCCCAGCTGGGTGAGTATAAGGAAGAAGCTCACCATATGCCTGGAAGAGAGGAGAGAGAAAGAAAGAACACTTATTATAAACAGAAGAGTTGGCTCGTCATTTCCATTTTTGTCCCCAGGGATTGGTGGCTCTGTACCAGCACCCTCGTTCATGCCACCACAATCAACAATGGGGCAGTAGTAAGAAGTGAGGTAACAACAGTTCTTTAAAAATAAGTCTCAACAACCCTCGCATTCTCAGCTCCGCAAGTGGTAAAATTCTTCATGGTTAGGAACCTATCTGTGTGCTTGGCTCTGTGGTATTTCTGGTAATTGATACCCATTGATGTAGGGCAATTGATACTAATTGATGTAGGGCAGTAGGCACAATATTTTTATTAGCTATCTTTAACATTAAAAAATTTTTTTCTACCACATGCCGGACACCATATTAGGCACTGAACATACACAGACAAATAACACATCGTCCCTTCCTCTAGTGGTTTATAGATTACTGGGCGAGATGGACCAAAATTAATACGGTGCTAAGGGCCATGGTCAAAGGGTACTTTACCCAAATTATAGAGCAGATAGCCTTCTTAGAAAAACCAATATTTGAATGGGAGTCCCTTGGGAAAGGGAAGAAAGATAAAAGAAGAGGAAGAGGAGATGGAGAGAAGAGAGGAAAGAACATTTCAACAGAGGGATTAGGCAGATTTCTCTAGCTGCCATGTGAACACCCAGGGGCAAGACGACGGTGGGAAGACTGGATAGCAGATTCTTACAGTTATGGAGGTAAAAGACAGCAGCTGCCTGAACAACAAAGTGGCCATTAGGATGAGAGAATTAAAGCATTTTAAGAGATACTAAGAAGCTAGAACTTACAGAACCTGGTTGAGCACCTACATCTGGGGGAAAAGGAAAGGAAATGATCTAAGGTGATTGACAGGTTTTTAGCTTGGACAACAAAATGAACCGGGCAACTCAGAAGGAAGAACAGGTTTTAGGGGAAGGAGAAGAAATGACACATTCAGTAACTGAATTGTAAAGCCTGAGGTTCCTACAGGAGATATTCAGAAGACGACTATAAATTAAGGTCTGAAAGTGTTGATTTGTTGGTAACGGACAAAGTCTTGAGCAGGCAGATCAGCACTGAAGAGTGTGCAGAGGGAGAAAAGGAGAAGGCAGCGTTCCAAACCCTAGAGAACACCAACATTTAAAGGAAGGATAGAAACAACGAAGCTGCAACAAATGCAGAGGAATGATCAGAGAAGCAGGCAGGAAACCAAGATGACAAAGAGTTTAATAGAAGCCAATAGAGACAGAATGTTTGAAGACGAGAATAGTTAATTGTACCAAATGCTGCTAAGAGGTTCTCCAGGGCAAAGAAGGTACAACAAGGAGGTCTTTTAGGACACTGGTGGAAAGAACTTCTGTAGAAGTATAAGGACAAAAAGCCAGGGGACCCATGAAAGAGGTGTGAACGGGATATGGAGACGTAAAGTCAAGGGGTGGGCTGTTCTTTCACAAAGCTAGTGTGTCAGCCCCAGTGCCGATTTCGATCATTGCAGACCCATTGTCTAAAGCACTTCCTGACACATTGCAGGTATTAAGGAGATATCTGTTGAATAACAAGAAGTTGAATATGAGTCAGGATGGTGGCTAGAGGATAGTGTAAGGTACAGGAAGCTTTATTATTTTATTAAAGATGGAGATATGTGAACACATTTAAATGTTGAAAGTAAGAGTCCATCGTTCAAAATAGAAGCTCGAGTGATAAGAGAAGAGATGATCAGTGGAGCAAGTTTCCTAAAAAGAGCAGGAAAAGCTACTTTACGTGCCCAACAATAAGTAGAAGGATTTGAGGGGTAGTGAAAGGCATAAACCTCCTCTTTGGTGAAGGAATCGGGAAAATTCAGGTTATCATCCCATAACCTTTTTAGTCTGATCATTAGCTGAATTTATTAATTCAGTATGTGAGTGGGCTTTGGACCAGGGGAGGTGCCAGACTCATGATGCTCTGTAGACTACACTGGGCAGCGCACACCTCAGACACAGCAGTGGTTGGGGTATCACATCTCAAGAGAGACTTCTACAATCTGGTGCTCAGAAAAGAGTAGAGATGGGGATGGGAACAGGTCTGAAAATAAAGATGAAAGAGTAGATTTAGTCCCAAGTGCGAGGGGACTGAAGGGACTGACTCGTGTGTCATCCCTGAAGGCATAGAGGTGGAGTTGCAGAGGGAAGTCTTCAGCTCACCAAAGGGTCATTAACACCTTGGCCTTTTTCTCTCTTTTCTTCTCACTACAAACTCACCCCCCAAGAGACCTCTTCTGCCCCCTGGCTTCATGGCTGATGACTTTAGTTCTGTATCTCCTGTGTGAAGATAGGTTCAAACCTATGCAACTACTCACTTGACATCTCCACTTGAATATATCTCTCAGGCTCCTCAAACACAACTTGTCCAAAACAGAAGTCATCAGAAATCTAAAAAGCAACCTTGACTTTTTCCTTTTCCTACAATCCCAAGATCCAAATCATGACCAAATTCACTTTTTTCCACCCCCATGGCCACCAGCTTGGTCCCAGCCATCACTGCCACCTGCCTGGACATTGTTAATAGCATCCTTATGGGTCCGACTACTCTATTCTTGCTCCTCTACAATCTATTCTCCTTACAGAAGCCAGACAGATCTTTAAACAGTGCAAATATGACTATTTCCCTGATTAAAACCTCCTAATGGCTTCCTGGTTGCTTTTAAGAAAAGAATGAAACCTTCAAGAGGGTGAAAATGTACAGCTTGATGGGCCCCTGAGTCCCTCTTTAGCTTCATCTCCCTGACTCTCTGCCCTTGAGCTGCCTGATCTTTCTCTACCTTGAAACTGCCACATACTCCTTCCTGCTTCAGGATCTTCAAACTTTGCTTTTCCTTCCTCCTGGAAGGTCCTCCAGGCCCCTGCCCACTTTCTCAGTGTAATTCCTCATCCTTAAGAACTCCTTCCTTCAGAAGTCATCTCCTCTGAACCATCCTAGGAAGCCCACCCACATCTCCTTACCTGCTTGGTAGCAACTAGGACTTCTTTCCTCCATTGTACTTATCTCAGTGGTTATTAAATAACTGTGTCCTAAACTGTGTAATGCCTTTCTTTCTCACTGCACTATGAGTTCTGTGAGGGCAAAGCCTTGTTTCTCATAGTATTTCCTGGGCCTGATACATATCCAGTAGCAACTGGATAAATGTGGTTTAATAAAAATAACATTAAATATTATTAAATATTAAAAATATTAAATATTAAAACTGCATAGCAAAGGAATGAGCACCCTGTCACTGGAGGTATACAAGGAAGGGGCTGGATCAGGAAGGTTGCCCATAAACCCCTTCCATGTGGAAAGTCCGACATTCTGTGCTACCTGAGCCACCATTGCAGGGAAGAAGGCATCCCTGCCAGCCACGTTTCCTTCTCCTGTATCCTAACCCCTCCTGGCAAAGCCAGAACAAGGTACCTTCCCCAGTGGGCGTGTTTCCGAAGCCAGGCGCTGGGGCTGGCTTCCAGTCCATGCATCACTGTATCCGCATAGTCCATGAAGGGCCTGTTAAGCCTGCAGGAGAAAGTACATACACAGTTACCAAGACGCGGTTTAAACTAAGATCATATACTGAAAAGTCACGAGACACGTAGCAAGGCAAGACCCAGCTGGAGTGGAAAGACCACTGGGGCAGTGATCCGGTGACCAAAGTTCTAGTTCAGATGGTATCTCCTTGGTGGCTAGTTTTCCTTACCTGTCAAGTGGGGCAGTTATTACATAGCAAGGGTAATAATACACGCCTTGCACTGGTACAGTAGTTTTCATATCAGTGATCCCACTGGATCCTCATGACAACTCTCTGAGGCAGGGCTAGGCATGGATTGTTAATGCCCAATTTAGAGATAAGTCATGCAGATACGCACAGTGGCCTGACTGAGCGCACCTACTGAGTTGCGTGGCAGAGCCTCCCTTTACATCCCTGCCCTGAATGCTTTTCTCCTTTTCTTGGCCTTGTTGGGGGAAATGAAGAAATAAACTCTTGTTATGTGCAGAATGTTTCTGGGATGTCCCTGAAAACCGAGTACCAAAGGAACTGATATGAGGATGCCGTTTTCCTCACCTGTGGCAGAAGTGCTGGGCACACCTGACCAGGATGTGCATACAGTGGCAGGCGATGAAGCCCATTGCCAGCAAACTCAGCGGGCCCATCTGGAGGAAGGGGGAGCCAGGGGGCAGGGAAAGAAAGAAGAGAATAAATTTGTGAAGGACACTGTGGGGAAGGATTTGGTAGTGCAGATGTCATTCAAGACTCAAAGAACTTTCTAGCAAACTGGTTTGCAAACTCTTTTTAGCAGTAATGGCTGTTCTTTCAAAAATAATCTCAAGCAGTAATCCAATAAAGTATGTAAAGCAATGACAATGGGGTGCTGTGACAGGAGTAGGCGATGCAGAATTTTGAGTTTTATTGGCTTCTGAGGTGTCCCTGAGAACTAGAGCTCTATATAGCACAATTAGAAAATCACAGTCCAACCCCTGCAGTCTACAAGGGAAGAAACTGAGGCCCAGAGAGTGGTCAAATGACTTGCAAAAGCCACTCAAATTCTATAGCAGAGCCAAAACTCAACCCCAGGCTACATGTCTAGACTCCAAGTCTGGACCAAGCTGTCTCCCAGAAAGACTGCTCATTGCAAACCATCATAAACCCTTAAAGCCTCTCCTCTCACCTCCCTGCTATAACCCTGTCATGCTGGCCCCAGGGGTGGCAGCCTTCCTTACCAGGATGCCTGCATTCTTCACAGCCAGGGGTAGTCCCAGGATCCCTGTGCCCATGTTGCCTTTCACCAGGTGAACCAAGGTCTGGAACGCTCTAAAGGAAAGTGAAAAGACATGAGGATGTGGGTATGTGGAGGTGAGGAGATCTAACAGATATTCCCTCACAGCATGCCAATACCTGAGTTAAAATGGATAGGTAGGCTCCTGGCCACCTCTCAGTCCCCATGGCCTTGCCTGGCACCTCTGGGTCTCCTGCAGGGTGACCAACCATTCCAGTTTGTCCAGAACTGTCCTGATTTATAGGACTCAATATATGCCATTGTAACACTTACTATATAATAGATACTCAGCTAAGTACTTTGTATGTATTATCTCATTTAAGCCTCTTATTCAGGCTAGGGAGTAGATGAGGAAACTGAGGTTAGAGGCTGTTTTAGTGACTTGTCCAAGGATATACTGGAGAGCTAGGATTGGAACCTAGGACTGCTTCAGAGTCCCTGTTTTTCACCCTACTTCTACTGGACTGCCTCCCAGAAACAGGCCCAGACAGATGAGTAAAGGGACACCCCATTTCATAACCAGGGAAACTGAGGCTCAAAGAGTGGGCAGCAAACAGCCTAAGGTCATAAAACTAGTGGCAGAGACAGGATTGAACTCAGAGAAAAGGGAAAAAGGCAGGCAACAAAGAGAAATCATTGCGACTTTTGAATAAACAGGTCAAATGACTTGGATTCCCAGATGCGGTCTATTGAGACAGGGTCATTTGGGAACTGGGCTCTAGAGGGATATTTTTTCAAATATCCCTCAGGCCAAGGCATCAAACTGAGGAATGGCATGACTCTTCCCACACCAACAAAACCAAAGACAAACACTCAGACCCTTTAAGGCAGAAGCGAAGCTTATCCAGAGGACAAGGTCTACCCCTGTAGAGATAAAGTTCAAAGGAGGTGCCCTCTCTGCTGATGAATTACAAAACAACTTATGTTTATACCTCTTTGTACTTGGACCAAGTTAAACCAAGGTAAGTACTGGATTTGCATCCACAGCTTTAGAAACCTTGGAAATCCCCCATGATGGCCTTCCAGAGAGACTTCTTGTGAAGAGCACTAGGGGTATTCTGGAAAGAGCCTGGCCTCTCGGGTTGGACAAACCAGAGATTAAAACCCAAGGCCACTACTTAACTAGCTGTGTCATCTTGGGCAATGTGTCCACTTTGCCGAGTCTCTATAAATGTTAGGAGGAAAGATATTTTGAAATAACTGCCCTAAGCACCCATGCTTTACGTTAATCCCTAACTCCTCTAGCTTCCTGAGGGAGGATCTACCCATTGATCTATTAAGGTTAAGGGTTAAAGAGAACAATTGGGGGAGAAGGAAGGTGGAGAGTCCCTGCATGCCATTCCCTCCCTGTGTCAGCACTGTTGACACAGCATAGTACCCCGTGGCACTCCAATGCTGTGCTTATTTTGCAACTAGGAAAGGGTCAGCGGGTTACTTTGGAAATTTCTAACTAAAGGGCTTGGGAAATCAGAATTTAACTTTAGGCCACTCAGCCTACTTAAAAACATAGTGTGGTCAGCTGTGTGAAGCACTGGGCTGGGAGGCAGGAAACCTGGGTTTTAGCCTCAGCTCCTTTGGTGACCTTGGACTGCCATCCTATTCACAGTAGCCAACACTTCCAGACACTGCACTTGAGGGTTGTGTGTGTGTGTGTGTGTGTGTGTGTGTGTGTATGCAATTCACTTGTGCAGCCATCCTGGGAGGAGCAAACTGTCATCACCTCACAGAGGAGAAACTGGGGCACAGACAAGTTCTATCACTTGCTCAAGCTGGTAAGCAGCTAAGTGGGAATTGGAACTCGTGTCTGCTGGGCCCATAGGTACCATGCTTACCAGACTTGTGTTACTGCTTCCCTCCAAACAGAAGGGGCCCACGTTCTCATTTGTTTTATCTCTTGGATTCTTAAGTAGCTGAAATTGCCACCAACCCATATGTTAGTTCAGGACACAAGAGTTAGTTGGTTCTCTCAAGACCTCTGATTGAGAAATACTCCTATTCAGCAAGGGATAACCCCAAGGCCTAGAGAGTTCACTCTCAGGGTGAAGCATTCTTAGCAACCCAGAGACAAGCCTTGGGGCAAGAGAATCTGTCTCCATGCCAGTCATTGTGCCTACCCCTAAACTGACCTGTGGGGTGGCAGTGGAAAGGGGCTTTGCCTGCCCCTTATAGTAACTTTTCCCTCCTCTACATCCCTCTGGCCCCTTCAGATTTAATTTCTGCAGGTAGCCTCCTTAAATTCACACTGCCACCGATTTATCACCTTTTTGCATATGAGAAAACTGAGGCTTAGAAAAGGGAAGGCAGAGTCACAACTTGAATGCAGGTGTTCTTTCTACTACACCAATGGGATCAAAATTTCCTTCTTAAAGCAGCAGAACTCTCCACCGCCATGCCAGCCCACCCATTTTCCTCACTGAACTACTGTTCTGCTTGAGTGGTGAAGGCCAAGGGAGCCTCCACCTGCCGCTTGGCTTCCTGCCTCAACTCAGCAGAGCCCTCCTTGTCAGGGTTTGAAAGACTCATGAGTGATCCTCTCTCTTCCCCCTACCCCAAAACACACCCCAGGGAGATAGAAGAAACTAGACTCTCCTAAATACCGTGGTTCTGATGTCATCACCGCAATTCTCAGTTGAAGTAGAGGCCAGGGTAACTGGCCTCCAAGAAGTTGGGGATCCTGTCCCTCCCCCAACATTATCAACATTGGCAAGGAGCAAAACTGACTTTAGGGCCAGCACTGGATTCCAGCTCCCATCCTGCTAACAACCTAGTGCATGGTCTGGGGTAACTTAGACTCAGTTTCCCCACCCGTGCATGTTGAAGGCTGGTTCACTCTATCCCAAGGGCTTTTTAACAGTCTCCACTCTTGCCCCTTTAAGCTCTTGTCTTGACTCAGCCTACAACTGCCCCTTCTGCAACCATGGTTTTCTCATCTGCATGATGGGTTGGGGTCAGGCACCCTTCCCCCCTGCCCCCCGACTCCTGCCAAGGGTTTTTGCCAGTGCAAGCTTCAGGGCTAGAAGGTGGACATCGGGATGGCAGGAAAGAGTACTCACGTTATGCCCTTGGTCTTCTCCAAGCTGGGCAACTCAGAAGGGCTTCCATTCAAGAGACTGAAGTCCTTGTTCTGCAGCTTCTTGGCACTTTCAGGAGGTGACCTGAGGTCCAGTTTGAGGTCAACAGCTTCCTGGGAACTGCTAGCACTCTTGGTCCCGGGCATGACTGCTTCAGAAAGAGAGGGCTCTGGGTGATGAAGAGGTCTGCATTAGGAGGCAAGCAGGAAGGTGTCTAGTTAGGTGCAACCCAGTGGCTCACACCTCATTCACAGGCTCTGGACAAACTGGAGAGGCCCCACCCACCTCCCCACCCCGCTCCGTGGGTGCTCCTCCTGCCCCAAGAAGCTGAGGAAGAAGAGCCAATTGGGAGGAGGAGGAGAGGGGAGGGATCTGGGAAGGGAGTCAGCTACCCTGACCCTGCAACAGTGACTAGTCAGTGATCATTTCAATAACTAATACTTATTTAGCACTTCACTAAGAAACAGATACTCTTCTAAGCGCTTTACCTATATTTTCTCATTTAATCCTGCACATTAAATAATGAGATCAGGTTCTGAACAAAAGGAACATGCCTAAGTTCACATACCTAGCGAGTGACAGAGTAAGGACCAGAGCCCAACTCGTCACACTTTTTAAACAGAACACTATTTCTGCCTCCAAGAGCATACCTACACATTGCCACCTCCTTATTCATCCCAGGGCAGGGGCTGCAGGTCTGCTGTAAGGTATCCTTCTGAGAGCTCCCCTTTCTTGGAAAATAGCTGGCGGGGGAAAAAAGCAATCACTCACCTCTAACTGCTTCTTAGCTTTTGTGAGGCTCCAGGGAGAAAGTAGCGGAAAGCCTTTTGGAAAACAGAGAGAGGCAGAGATTGTAGAACACCCAGTCGCATTTCACTGGGCAGGACACTGGGCCAGGAGAGGGTGTGATTTGCCTAAGGTCACACATGCCATTCAGGATAGAACTCTGCCGCTAAAAAAGACCCTGGGGGTTTCTCTAGTGTTCCGTTCTCTGTCATCATCTCTACTTCAGTGACAGAAGAATGGGCCAAAATTTCCTCCTCCCTCAAAATTATAGCATTTTACTCAAGCCATACCACTCCCTGTACCACCACCTCCTGTGCCAAGAGCTGTACTTAAATATCTCACAGTTAAATGGTAGCATCCGAGACAGATTTGTCTGGGCCCCTCCCTTAAATGAGACCCTTTCCAAGGTCCTGTATGAGATTTTGAATTTGTAATTTTGCATTCTTTTCCCTAAAGAGGCCCTCTCTACCCCTTACCCCCTCCTCAATGGTATAAGCTTCAGGCTCCACAAAGCCTGGCTATATCTCTGGCTAGCACTGTTATTTTGTTTTTACAGATGTGGAAACTGAGGCTCAGAGAGGTAAAGAATAGCTCGTTTAAGGTAAAGACTAATCCTCGGTAGAGCCTGAAACTCAACCCCAGCCAGATCGTTTTATGCCTTAAGCCTGCAGCCTTGATCACTACACTGATCCCTTGCTCTGAATCCTCACCCCACCCTTCTACTGAATCAACTGAAACACTTGCTGTGGTTTGAGAAATGTCCTCTATTCATCTGTCTGACACCATTACGTGGCAGTGTTCCTGGTATGTGGGGTAGCAGGCAGCATTCTGTGGCCCGCTCATGACAGCACTGGAATTCTATAACTCCATTCTAAGCTCAGAGCTCATTTAACCCACAGATCTTGTTCCTGCTCAGGCAACAAGGTCAGTAAGTGAGGTTGTCAAGAAGCTTGAAATATTATTAATACATGAGGCTAGTTCTTGCTTTCCTTTACAGGTTATGAGAAAAACCGTGAGTTAACCTTCAAACCTTTGGGACAGGGGCTGCTGGTATATTGGAATTTGGCTGGGGTTTTTTCCCAGGGTTGGCTAAAAGGGAGCTTGCAGGGCACTGCCTGCAGACCTACAACTTGCTGCACTACAAAAAGAAAGGAGGGCTTCCATGATGAGGGCCTTCAAATTAAGCCCTTCTAAACACTGGCCCAGACATTTGTAGCTTTGGGATCGACTGGGGCTCTACCATGCTGTTATGACCTTGGAAAAGGCACTGCTCCTCTTTTCCCCTTTATGAAATGCGTACTGGATCGCAGAGGACTTCCGAAGGACTGAGGACCCAGGAGCTATGCTTTTCAACCCTAGTGGATGCTGAGACGCAGGCTCAGCCTCCCTGGGGTTGAGGCACATGCAACTTGTGTGAGCACAGACTACCCATTTGACATCTCCATACAGGGTGGAACAAGTGGAATTTGAAGAATGATAGCAATCTTTTATGACCCTTCAAACAGAGGACTTTGTTTCTTTCATTCTTTAATGGCAGTTTGGAAAGTTGATGTATATCAGAATCAACTGGGGAGATAATAAAGCACACAGAGACTCAGTGACGTAAGGAGAATCTGGGCCTTTGTGTTTTTACCAAGTTCTCCAAGTGGTTCTGATACTGCTCAGAGTTGAGTTCCATTGCTCCATGGGGAAAGAACTGCCCCACTTTAATAGAGAATCGAGACAGAGAGCTGGGAAACACTCTGCTTGAGGTCGTGTAATCTGGTAGAAATGTCACAAGTACTCCATGAGGCTGGAAGTAGGAGACTCCAGAAACAAAGATGAAACTGATAAGGAACATCACTTGTAAAATTCTTAATCTTTTAGCAGGAAATGATAAGGGACATCTCTTGCAGACTTCTTAATCTTTTTAGTAAAACTAGTTAAGTTTTCTTCCCTCCTTTCTTTAGGAAAAGGCCCTCTCCCTCAAATCCCGATAACTGCCCCAAAACTGGTGACTCAGATCCTCTGGCTATTGATAAGCATCATCGGCCCATTGTTAACAGAAAAGGTGTTAGGCTAGATAGGGCTTAGAGTCTGAGAGGAGAGTGGACTTTAGGCCAAAGGTTTTTTTTACTCTTTAAGAAATATATTAACCAAGACTGTTGCCCTTTACTCACTTAATAGGCAAATCAATAATAGAAGTTAATACATACATGATTTAAATAACAAGTTTGTATCTTCTTTTCCTTGTCTCAGGATTTA